GCTCTTAGTGAAAGACCATGGCTACCATGGGCCTACTTAGGCTGCTGAGGCAGAGGCAAGGCTGTTTTAGCTGAATTTTACTTTTGCGTAACTTAATATTTTCTAAGCAAGTTTATTGGTAAAGCCTTAAAAACACCAGTTTATTGCTTTCATTTCCTCCATTACTTTACAGGTATAAACAACGGTTCTTGGGTTATGAGGTGTGTTTTCAGCCACTGGAGAGAAGGTTAGGGATTGTCATGACAAAACTTTTCCTGGAGGAAACACAGCTTGTGTCTACTCAGCCCAGACAGAGAATCCACGACAGAATAAAGTAAGTTTATCACCAAAGTCCTACTTGAGAAACCAGTAGATTTTATAGGGGTTCCTTTAGGAGTATGGCCGAGGGCTCTCTTACAGGAGCAGAAAAGACTCCCAGACAGCTGCACCAAAGCCCTCCCAGCGTGGGTGACAACTCAGCAGTCTGGGAACCTGGAGCACATTGCACAGGCCGCAGGTTGCGGAGAGCCCTGTCCCGATGCCTCAGTGGGTTTACTTTTCTTCTAAGCTGATCTGGTTTCTGCTTTTTCTAAGGGCTGCTGGTCTGGTCTGCTCTGAGCATGGTCTTGCCAGTTCGGCTCTCTCCCTCTGAGAGGAACTCTCAGCTTTTGTAGTTTAATCTGGCAGAAAGGGGCCTAGCAAACTTCCTGAAGCTATTTTAAGTAGTTACATTCTTGCTTAAGGAGTTTCCTGCAGTATAGAGTGTTTTGTTCTTAGAGGAAACCGCTACGCAACAGGGGTAAACTCCCTTAGGAAGCAGACAGACTTCAGAATGTTTAGGTCAGATTTGTGTGATTTCAGTTACTTTATACATTTAGTTCTTCTCGGCATTCATCTCTCTTCTCATTAAAGAAAGCAAAAGGGTAGCATCTTTGCCATCAGCATTGTTATTTCTTGAGAAGAGGGTTATTTTGATGTGTGTGTGTGTGTGTGTGTGTGTGTGTGTGTGTGTGTGTGTGTGTATCTGGGGTCTAGGCACTGCTACACTCTCCTGGGAAGGATGAAGTGGAGCCTGGAATGGGTGCAGTCTGCAGGACCCAGGTCAGGCTGGGAGGGCTAAGTCCTTCTCCAAGGATTTTAGTGATATAGCTCTCTTAGAAGATAGCCAACAAAACAGCTCACTGAGATGATATTCAGTAAAACAGTTTATTTGGGGTGAACAAGGTCTATATAAACCTTGGGGAGCAGGAAGGTAGTTTTACGGTGGGTGCATCTCATTAGTTGGGGCTAAGATGCTGGGATGCTTCATTTGCAAGGAGAGGCATTCTACATACTGGGCTACTATCTACCTTTAGACTTAGGGGTCCTTAGACTAAGCTGGGGCACAGAACATGCAGGGAGTGATCCTTACTCCTGCTGGCCTAGATTTTTTCTGGGTTTGGACAAGAATCAACCTTATTCTAGCTCCACAGTGGCTTCCCCAATTGCACAGTCCAAGTGCCCCACAGCAGTCACACTTACTTATGAAATTTTGAGACACTCCTGAATGATGTGATTTGATGACAAATCCCTCAACTTGACTTGTTGGATTGGATTCAAATAGCTTACAAGTTTTCTCTTTCTTTCTCTCTCTCTCTCTCTCTCTCTCTCGCTCTCGCTCTTTCTCTATAGAGTTTCAGGTAGCCCAGGGTGGCCTTGAATTCCCTACCCTACACAGATGAAGCTAACTTCCAACTCTTGAGCTTCCTGTTTCTGTGTTGAACTTGCTGGGTATACAGACATGCACTATCACACATGCCTCCTCCACAGTTGCTGTTGTTGTTTTAGGACACGGTCTTTCTCTGTAGCCTGGTTGGCCTAGAACTCACTGTGCAGACCAGTTGGCCTTGAACTTGCAGCCATCTTCCTGTCTCTGACTCCTAAGTGCTAATACTAAAATTCAGAGTTAATTCTTCTTGCCTAAACTCTTTAATGTGTGATCTGAAAAGGATTTCTCCATCTTCACTTTAGCTCAATGAAATGAAAGCTATAAAGATAGCTAATATTCTCTAACTAGCAGCTTGGTAACCACCTCTAATTTCGGAGATTTATATGAGTTATCTAATCCCTAAAATAACTCTAGCAGACGAGTTTGGACCACACATACAATTAAAATCATTTCAACAGCTTATCTTTGTCCTCTAGCCCATTTGCCATAGGCATATGTGTATTTTAGATAGATTAACTAAATCATCCTACAAATAATTGAGTCTGTAGGTATGGAAGTGCCTTAACCAATCATGAGAGAGCATGAAGAAAAAACAAATGACACTTCTTTACCTCTTATCTTGTCCTGTGCAGTCTTGGTGAGGGGAAATGGGGGCAATCAGTCAACACCCATTAGTACCAACTGTGAGGAATGTGAGGAGAGGAGGATAAAAATGGGACACAAGAGGACATGTCACAGCGGATCAGAAAGTGTCACAGATGTGGAGAAATTTTAACTAGTCAATTCAATTCAAATCTCAAGGGTTAGAGAGCCCATGATGGAAGAATAAAAGCGTGGTAGCAGGACTAGCTGAGAGCTTGCATATTGATTCACAAGCAAGAGGCAGGGAAAGAGAGCTAACTGGGAACAGCAGGAGCGTTTTGAACCTCAAAGTCTATCTCCTGTGACATCCTTCCTCCAATAAGGCCACACCTCCTAATACTTCCCAAACAGTTCCACCAACTGTGGACCAAATAGGAGACTATGGATGGCATCCTCATTCAAACAATCATCTTTAAAGAATATTTTGTTTTCCAGTGACCCTGAGCTGCTCTGGACATTTTATTAGTGTCAACTGTGGTAGAAACATTGACAAGGCCACATCTGTCTCTGTATGTATGTATGTATGTATGTATGTGAAGATCTATCTATGTTACATTTGGTAGCTTATTTTATTGGGAGACTTTCCTCAGACATGTGCATGAGAGTGACAGGGCCATGCACCAATTCAAGTCCCTTTAGTATCCTTCATATATTTCTCAAAGTCTAGTGAGGATCTATTCACACTCCATTTTCCCAGAGATTGGGACGGTGCTTTTCATCCTGTTAGCTGGAGACAGGCCAGAGCCACATGACTAAACTGAGAGGGGTGTCTCGGTCAGTGCTGGTCAGGGGTTTGTCCTGGACCCACTGCCACGTCTCTTGGCCTCGGGCCTGGCGGTAAACAACCTGGTTAACCACACTGCAGATCATATCCTTTAATCACCATGTTGCCTCGTGTGGTCCAACCACAGTGATGTGAGTTTCCCCAGCTGAATGAGGGATGTAGCTGTGTATCTCAATGAATAAGAGATAGATGTCTCCATGGTACACAGTGGTGTATCAATGTTCTCAGGCAAAGTATCCTATGGATTCTTATTTACAGCGTTCATTTCCATCACAAGTACCCCTACTTTCCTACTTTTCTAAGAACAGCATATTGTATTGCTTCTTATCATTGCTCAGAATTGACCACATGCTTCAAAGCATTCTGCACTTTGTCTTGACTGATTCTAATATGTTATTTTGTTATAATGCTCTATAACAGTGTACAATAGCTTATTTATTCATTATTTTATTTGTGATAGGATCTTGCTATGTACTCATTATGAAGTCCAAGCTCTTACATGAACTTACTTTTGATGTACTTCAGTGTGACCTCATATTTATGACTTCCCTGTCTCCTTCTCTCAAATGTAGAGATCATAGGTTCATTGCTTTGTAATTCTATAAGACTAAGTCTTCTATTTGGTTTCTGTTATCTTACTTTTTAATATTATTCTTAAAATTTTGTCAACCACTGGTCTTATACTTTACATATTAGTTGGTGTTAGCTTTGTTTTTAGATTCATTTTATTTTCTTGTTATGATTTCTCTGGCTGGCCTTGAACTCACATTGGTCTGCCTGCCACTTCCTCCCAAGTGCTAGGATTAAAGGCAAGCACCACCACACCGAGCAGTGTTGTGCCTAGCTTTAAAGCCCATTAATTTGTTATTTCATATTATTTTCTCATTATATCATATTTCACAGTATTGAGATGTAATTGTCTTACAAGTATGTACTTTCTTGCTTAACCCCTTTATTCATTAAGCTCAAACGGCCAAACCTAACTGTTAGACAATTCCAACAATCAATCTTCATAGATATGCTTTATAATTTGCAGTTTCCCAGATGAATTAATTCAAGTTTGTTAAAAGACATAGTAGGTTACCTTTGAATTCTGCGTAGAGAGCAGATTGCTGGCATTCATTGCTATGCTCCATTTATGCAAGGCTAGGAGTTAAACTCAAGGCTTCATAAGTACGAGGCAAGTATGCTGGAAACTGAACTACAATCTCATTGACCAAAATGTTGCTTACTCCACTCTTCCTCTTTCTGTGGTCTCACTCATTGGGGACTAACAGCTGCCCTTTCCCTCCCTTATTTCCTTCATTTCTTCTTTTTTCTTTTAAAGACATAATTCTATGTAGACCTGGCTGGCCTAGAACTCATAGAGACCACTCACCTCTCCTTCTCCAGTGTTGCTATTAAAGACAAGCATCACCTTGCTGGGACTTTTTTGTTTCCTGAGACAAAGACTTATTATGTAGACTAGGCTGCTCTCTGGAACTACCAGCAATCTTCTTGTCTCAGCCTTCCATGATGGGATTCCTTGTTTTGAGGATGGTCAACGATATTTCTGAAGAGTCTGTGTGGCAGATACGGAAGCTCTTTGGAAGTCTTTTAAGACTCTGGGATGACCGCAATCATGCTTCCATCTAATTTCAACCTCACTAAAGATCCTTGAGATTTAATCTTCCATTTAATTTTTCACACACAGGAGACAATAAGTGTTAGCTCCTCATCAATTTAACTACTCCAGTTTGGATTTTCTTTCTTTTCTTCTTCTCTCTTAACATAGCCATAAATGAACGCAATTACGAAGCTGTCAAATCTTAACGGCAAAACCTAGAGAAGGTAATGATTCATATATGAAAATAAGTTGGAAAAGTTCATAAAAATATTTACAAAATGTATCCAGACATATTTTATTTAATAACACATTATGAACAAAAAATATGTGTGTTATGAATGCAAGCATGAACCAACATTAGGAACTCTACTTATATATTTTTTAAACAGGTGAAAAGAGGGAAGGGTGCAGGTTCATGGGATGGGAAAAAGAGAAAGGATAAGAGCCATAAATAATTACTACCTGAAAATCGAGTTGGAAGAAAATTACAACTAAATAAATGCTACATACATATACAAGGAAATACTATAACTCATACTCTCAAGGGATTATTGTGGAAAGGAACTTAAAAGACAATGATGACTGTTAGCCTTTCCTATCCTTCTTTTTTTGAGGCTTGGTCTCATTCTGCAGTCTTTGTGGGCATGGAAACTGGTATGCAGATCAGGCTGGCCTCACGCTCACAGAGATCTGCCTGCTTCTGCCTCCTGACTGCTGGGATTAAAGGCATGCACCGCTATACCCCATGGCTTTCTTTTAAAGAAGTTTCTTTATTTTCATTTCATGTGTCTGATATTTTGCCTGCATTTATATATGTGCATTGTATACATGTCTGGTGTCCCAGGAGGCCAGAAGAGGGCTTCCAGACAATGAGTACTATATTTGTCAAGGGCCTATAGTCTGATTCAACATACCATGATGATCATCTTGTAATATTTTTTCATTTATTTGTTTCTAGTATTGAGAAATTCACCAGTCCTAGAACATTCTCAGCCACAATCTTCTTTTTTGAAAGTTTTAAATATTATTTTATTAAGTCTTTGAGGTTTTATACGGTGCATTTAATCCTATTCATCCTGCCCCTAACTCCTCCCTTATATATCTCCACTTCCCAAACCCTTCCCAAATGTGTATCAGATTCCAGTTTATTTATTTATTTAGTCCACAGATTCCTGGGTGTGGGGCGCCATCCATTGGAGCCCGGCCAATTTACCTCGGGCCTCATCTTTAGAAAGCCACGATCTTTCTATACCAGGGCACTGATGCACAGTTCTACAAATGCGCATTAAAAAAAAAATAGTATCAAATCTACCTGGTGCTCTGAGACACAAAACCACCTAAGCAAAACTCTGATTGAATCCTTAATTTAGCTACCGGCATCTGTTGATTTGAAGGCTGGGAATAAATAAGTCTGATCCAGAACTAAGTGCAGAGCTTGAGCTTTTCTGTGCAATCATGTGGGGAGAGGCCACCCACCCGTTCTTCACAGAGTGGAGTTCCAGGTCATCCTCTGCTGAGGAAAGAGCTTCCGTCTGGCACCTCAGCACCATCAGCTCAACACTCTGGGTAAGGCTTCATTCAATGGTCCAGCTCCGTGTAACACCCTAAATACCAAAGTTTAGGCTGGACAAGGTCAACTGGGGTTTCATACAGACCATGTCCTATGCCCTGACCCACCGCCCTACTTTACAAAAGGGGAAACATCATCAGGATTTTAATTTATCCATACAGGAATCAAACTTGTCGTATTATATATGAAAAAATCATGCCCACAATATGAACCACTTATTGTTCATGAGGGTGTGAGAGTTTAAGTTCACTGCTTCCTCCATCGCCCCCAGTTCTCTTCACGTTTGCTTTTCTCCCAGCCTTTCTGCTTCATTCGTTTATTTTAGCTCTCCAGCCACAAGATGCCAGTCTGCCTTGTGAAGAAACAGCTACAAGCTGGCAGACCCGGGATTTCCTCCTTCCGACTTCAGCCTGCGGATGTCAGAGGCGCACCCCTATGCCGAGCGCTCAGAGAACACACTCGCTGAAAGCTGCTCAAAGACCACAGACTAAGTAACTAAGATACAGCAACAGGGAACCTGAACATTCCTTCTGCCTGAGCCTCATCTCTGTCAGCGGCAAACCCAAGTCACGTTAAAACTGGCAGGCTGGAAAAGCAAGCATTCACAAAATTCATATTTCTGTGGGAACTCTTGTGTTAGAGTCCTTTTCACTGGCACATATCTTATAGAAAGAAGAAGGTTGGGGGTGGGGTTGGGGACCCGAGAGAAAGGAAAAGCTCTAAGCGAAATTAAGTGTCTGCGCATGCTCATTCGTGCTCCGGGAGAGCAACCCCGGGAGTCTAAGGGCAGTTTCATTTCTAGAAGAGGATAGTTCAGTACCAGAACTGAGAGCGGCACGGTTGGACAGCACCTGGAGTTAATTTGTAACTACACGGCAGCAGATTAACTATATAGAACCCACAGGTGAACGTGGGTGCGTGGTTCCTGGAAGCTACGCTGTTTCCCGCATTTCCAGGGCATCGCGGAGCTCACGTTAGCGTGAGAAGGGCGGGCAGGGCGGTGCACGCGAATAGAATTCGGTTGGGAAGGATTGGGCATTCCAGGCTAGCATCTCGACCGCGTGTCCAACAGACTGTAAAAAGAGGCGCCTAACTTTAAGCGTGAGGACACTCGAAACGGCTACAACTCACTTGTTGAAAGAACGCACGGTCCCTGAAAGTCTTCGAAATCGTGCGTGAACATGCCTGCCTTGCTTGGCTTCTTTACTGGTTACAGGCTCGGTGCTTGGCGAGTTCCCTGCGCCACGGAGAATGGTCGTCAGGATCTATTGAGATGGGATGGTGCTTTTTGTAATGCGATGCGCTCGAAGATGTCGTTGACGAACGAGTTCATGATGCCCATGGCCTTGGACGAGATGCCAGTGTCCGGGTGCACCTGCTTCAGCACCTTGTACACGTACACCGAGTAGCTCTCCTTGCGGCTGCGCCTGCGCCGCCTGACGTCCTTCTGCGAGTTGGTGACAGCTCCTAGGAGTGCTTCTATGGGGCTGGCGCGGACTTCCCCCGCTCTGGCACTGTTGTGCAAAATTTAACTTCCTCCAACTGGCACACCAAACAAGCATTTTGGAAAATTACCACCCTGTTACCGGTCACACTCCATAATTCATTCACATTACGCAGTATTCAAATGAGGTTAATAAGATTTCCTTCAGGATTGGATTAGTTTTAGCGTTTCGTCACGAACAGGAGCGTAAACGACACTTGAAGGGCTACTGTCTCATTGGCTGCCTTGTCACCTCCCGTCCGCCAATCAGAAAGTACGAACTAAACTGCACAAGTCTGCTAGAGCTAACCTATTCAAGCACGATCGCCGAGACACGGCCAAGTTATGTTTTCAAGCGTACGCTCAGCTCACCGTACCCGTGTGACTCAGCACAGCGGGGGCTGCGATGAGGTTCAGGCGGCCGTTGCCAGGAGACTCATCCAGCTTATTTTGCACCGTACCGCTTGATGCTAAGGACCCCTCCGTGCTAAACTGTTTCCTCCCTAAAAGTTAACTGCAAGGCGGGGCGCGATGCTGCTCGCCTCTGATCCTAACACTCAGGGAAGCAGAGGCAGGGGGATCTCAGTTCAAGGCCAGCCTGGCCTAGGAAGAAGGCCAGGCCGGGCAGCAGAGCTGCCAAAGCTCCAGAGAAACGCGGTCTCGAAACACAACACAGGTACCTACCTACCAACGTGGCACCCACGCAGAGTGAAAATACCCCATTGCTGTTTGTGATCCTTATGTGCAATAAAATGTCTACATATGTATACACACCTAAGGTAAGAACCTTCCTTAAGTGTGCTACAAACACTTCTAAACACTACCCCAGCCCTGCCCCGCGCTGCACAGAAAGAAGCTCAGCCTACTGGCGTGTGCTCAGAGACCACGCCCCCTCTGAACGCGCAACAGCTCCTTTCCTGAGATTTGTGGGTGGCTCTGAAAAGAGCCTTTGGGTTGTTCGGCTTCTAAGCAGTTGGCCAAAGAAAATTACTTTTTCTTGGCTGCGGTTTTCTTTGGCTTGGCCGCCTTAGGCTTGGCCGTTTTGGGCTTAGCCGCCTTGGGCTTCACCGCCTTCGCCTTGGCAGGGCTCTTGGGCGCCTTCTTGGGCTTAGCCGCCTTCGCCTTCTTCGGGCTCTTGGCTTTTTTGGCTCCTGCGGCTGCAGCCGGCTTCTTCGCCTTCTTTGGAGTCTTCTTGGCGGCCTTCTTGGGGGTGGCCGCTCCCGCAGCCTTCTTGGGCTTCTTGGCCGCCCCCGCGGGCTTCTTGGCCTTGGCCGCGCCCGCCTTCTTGGCTTTGGGCTTGGCCTCGCCGGAAGCCGCCTTCTTGTTGAGCTTGAAGGAGCCGGAGGCGCCGGTGCCCTTGGTCTGCACCAGGGTGCCCTTGCTCACCAGGCTCTTGAGCCCGAGCTTGATGCGGCTGTTGTTCTTCTCCACGTCGTAGCCGGCGGCCGCCAGCGCCTTCTTGAGCGCCGCCAGGGACACGCCGCTGCGCTCCTTGGAGGCGGCCACGGCCTTGGTGATGAGCTCGGACACCGGGGGGCCGGACGCCTTGCGCTTCGCGCCCCCTGCGGCCTTGCGAGCCTTCTTCTTCACCGGCGTCTTCTCGGCGGGGGCCGGGGCGGCGGGCGCGGCGGGCGCGGTCTCGGACATGGCGAAGCGTGCGTGCAGGAGAGAACTCGAGCCGGAAGCAGAGGCACTGGCCGGGACTCGGGCCGCGGCGCTGCGCCCGCCCGTTTATATAGGGCGGAGCTGCGTCGTGATTGGTGCGCTGTCCAGCCCGCCTCGCTGGCAGCCTCGGAGTGTCCTCTCGGATGCCGAGTTGTGTTTGTTACACCTCAAAAAAAGCCAAAAATTTAAAAATTCCCTACCTCGAACGGCCAGATTTTTCTCAGATAATGATCCCCGAAGCCTCGGGGTTCGTGCACATCTCAAAAAATGAGCAAAGCACCGAGACTTCTGTCAAAAACCTGCGATATTTCCCGCGGTGCTCAGCAAATTTCAACTCAGAGAAACAAAACTTTCTATTTTCTTCGTAAATTATAAACTGATCTTCGACCGTACAGTTTTCTGACCCATAAAAGACGATTCTCCAAGTGGTTAGCTTCTTGTGTGGCCAAAAACCATGCCACTGGCATCAAGATTTTTATTACAAATCTGCACTTAAGTGAGGGAAGTAACACAGACTCCTCAGAGAGTCCTGCCTATTGAGCAGAGGGCATTTGAGTTCATCAAATTGGTTTAGTTCAATGCTTAACAGACTATTTGCCATTTTGAGTAAAATTCCTCTATCCTAGGCCATGAATCCATGCCTCTGCAGTTTTATTTCTGCCCGACCCGCCTACGTTTTAGAATAATGTCCTAGAATAGTTCTTTTCTTTCTGCTCCCAAGGGTTGGGGGCGGGGCTGTTGCTTTTCTATCTCTTTGGACAACTAGTCCTTTGGGTTGAGGTACCTCAAGTTCAGAGTATTGGGGTTGGGGGGAGACTCCGGAGTATCCCTCTGGTGAAGAAATTAAAATGACTAATTTTCAAATAGCATACAAATGGTCTTCTTAAAGTCTTTGGAAGTGGAAGTGAGCTTTACTTTGAGGAATTTCTTTTGGGTCTTGCTCAGTTCTTCTGGAATATATTTTAGTGATAAATGGTAATACACTGTATTAAAACTAGATAAAACTGAAATTGACCCATCGGTCGAGAGGAAAACAAATGAGAAGCGTAGCTCAGAACGTCACTGCTCCCATCGTTACAGACTCCCAGACCGGTTTCTGAACAGCTGCTCTCCATATATGGCTAGTCTTTCTGAAGACACTGGACCAATGTTTCCCGGATCTCCTTGAATGTAAGTGACACGGAGGGTGAATGAGAGGCTAGGATTTTAATCTGAGTCAGCTTTGAGAAGGCAGGCAAGCATAGTCGAAGACATGCTTTGCAAGATGTTCAACGAGTGTGTTTATTTTTGTAGCTGTTCAATCAAGGAAACATCCAAAACGACAGTGAAAGACCAGTGACAACCATTATTCCTGGGATACTTGGTTGGCATTTCTTCACACATTACAAGGCTCCCACTACAGAGACGAGAAGCAGTGTTGGCTAATAGTGTAATGCGGTAGCTGTTGTTTCATGGCAGGATGGCCTGTCATATCACAATATCATTCCACCGCCCTAAACTTCCACATACAAAAACGATGCAAATAAGGGGAACACGGAAGCTCAAGACACTGTCAATGATGTGGTTTTTTTTAGTGCCAAATTTTTATAAATGATTCATAATATCAGTATTGCTATGATATAACTTATGTTTTCAATTTCACATGTTAATAAATGCAAACTTTGTTATTCATTAAAACTCTGAGCCAAATTAGAGAAACTGTATGGGTGTTTGATGTAGAATGGTGAGAATTTAACCCATTTCTGGTGACAAAAGCCCTCCTGTAAATGGTAGAATTTGATACAACACATTATTGTTCTCCAGTACCTTTCTTTGTTTTCTTTCATTGATTCAATATGAGGGGAGGGATTAAACTCCCTGAATTTTGAAATAACTTGAGCCTTCTGTGCCTTTCTCTTATAATACAAGGCATTTTTTTTTCTGACAGTAAAACTGTTTGCTTGTCAGAGAAAGCAATGGATACTGCCCACTATTAAATCAAATGATTCTGATACTTTTCTAGCGTGAAATAGGAAAAGAACAAAAACAACAACAACAAAAACTTCACTCTTTTACATTAATCTGCCAGCTGAGCCAGGAACAGAGAATCACATGTTTGGGCAAATCTTTGTTCTTGTATTTTAACTACAAATTCCAAATTTTTCTTCAGCTGATTCTAAAATGACTCTCCTTATATCTAAAAATATGAATGTTTTAAGTTTCTCATAATATGCTCTTACCCATCCAGGTCTGAGAGCCATTGAAACTCTAACTGGATGAACTGAAGGCAAATTTATTTCTTGTCATGTGAGTATTTCTGTGGAAATCTGGGAATGCCTGTTATTCTAATTTGCTTTCCTTTTTGTAATAAAGTCTATAACCAAAAGCAGCTCATGGAGGAAAGGGCTTATTTCAGTTTACAAGTTATAGTCTGTCATCCAGGGAAGCCAAGAAGACTATCAAGGCAGGAGCTTGAGCATAAGCCAGCTGAGGAAAGCTGTTTAATGGCTTGCTCCCTGGCTCCTGGTCAGCTCCCTTTCTTATGTAGCTCAGCCCTGCCTGCCTAGGGATGGCCCACAGCAGACTGGGCCCTCCTACATCAATTAGAAATCTAGAAAATGGCTCACAGATGTGCCCATTGCTCAGTCTGGTGGGAAGGGGTGAGGGTGACAATCCCCTCTTTCCAGGTGTACCAAGCTGCCAACCAAGAACATCTATGACCCCCACAATAAACTGGGCGTAGACACACATGCAGGTTGAGAGTGCATGCTGGGAAGATGGGGTAGCTGCGTATAGTGGAACAAGGAGGCAAGACTTTTGACATGCTACTGGGTCAAGGAGAAAGGTTCAGTTAATCGTGGGAGAAACAGTGTCTGTAGGGGATCAGTCTTCAGGCCATATAATCTGGGGTGAGGAGCACGAGGGAGAAAGCAATGGTGGTTGTTTTCTGTATACACTCTCAACACGTGGAGCAGCGGGAAGCTTTGCGATTTCTATGTGCCTCACTGGAGGGAGGCTCTGTCACCCCATGGGGCTAATGTACCAGTGTTTGGTATACACACATGTACTCAGGATGGCCCTTGCGCTCAACACTCCTATTGTTGTGCCCGATTCTAGAGACCCCAAAAGACCAGTAGGAGTCAAGTCCATTGCAAATCACGCGAGGATCTTTATTCAAGCTTAAACTCGGGTCGCCAATCTCCCCTGACACAGCAGGTTAGAAAGTGAGGCCCCGAGTCTCAGGGAGGCTAAGTTGTTAAAGGGAAAAACGGCGAGCAGGGAATTCCAAGCCTTGCAGTTACAGGGAAGGGAAAGTTTTGGGTGGAGGGTTCAGCGATCGAGATGTCCTTTAGGCAAATTTTTCCAAGCCACCTGGCCAAACCGATAGATATCTAAGATATCTGTATGATAGCCTGCTGGGTGGAGTGGGGGACCCATTCTGTGGCATTTATGACACCTGTCATCAAAGACCCATCATTAACACATTCTGTGGCATTTACGACAACCTGCAGGGTGGAGGGCCATGTGCCCCTTCTCAGAACCCAAAGGTGGGGGTCAAGTCACTCCAAGGTCAGTCAACTTTAGAGTCAGAGAAACAAAATGGAGCCACCCCTGCCATCCTTAGTTTCTTCACTGACTCAGTCACCTATGTGCCAGGCAAGAGGCATCACCTACTTTTCCTACCTGAATTTTAAAAACATTTTAGGCATTCTGGAGTGTTAGAAATGTGGGACACTCTGATAATTTCTAATTTGGACAGGATAGCAACTATGGTAAGAGGAACAACATGATAAGTAGAAAAGTTGAAGAAAACTGCAGGCATGAATTTACTTCTTTTTATTCCACAATTCTGAGTTTCTTTTGACATTTTAATATGATGCTATGTATAATCTACTATGGCTAATGTATTGAGGGCAGAGTTTGTGGAAAAGATGTTTTATACTAAACAAAGTACTTATTTTTTTATCCTATGCATTGCTTTTCTTTTCACTTAAATAAAAAAAAAATAAAGCTGTGGATTATACACTCAGAGCTATTCCTTACAGCAATGTTTGGAATGTAAAAACTGGAAACAACCTCTGAGCTCATATGAATGAATGTAGTTGAATGAACAGGGTACATTTAAATGATGGAGCTATAAAATGTCTCAGGAAGATGTCTGTGAATTAATTTGGACTGAAGTACTGGAAATGCATTCAAGTAATAAGATAAATCCAAAAGAATATTCAAAGTATTATAGTCTGTGATAATGAAAGCAAAGCAAGAAAGATACTTTTTGTTCATCTGTATAGATTAAATACAGGGAAGATAAAGTTAAAACTGAAGAGATTGCTTGCTTATAAGAGGTAGAAGAGAAAGAAATAGAAAGGGCAAAAGAAAGAGAGAATTTTTTCTTTAGTATATTCTTTCATACCACTTTGGATTGCAACTGTAACAATGTTTGTTATCCAGGCAAAATAAGCTCTTAAATAAGTGATTGAAACCAGTGGGAATCAAACAGAATACAAAAACTGACACATGAGCCAAGTTGCATTAGAGGAAGACCATGATATCGCTGGAAGGATTAAGAAAGATAAAGATAAAGTTAAAGGATGAAGGAAAAGTAGTGATTAAATACTGTAAGCCCAAATCTACAAAGAGACAACTCCCCTGCAGGAATCTAGTGGAAGTGTTTTTCAGGAATATAGGTCGTTGATTTTAAAAGCCTGTCTTTATACATTAGGGTTGGACAAACATACAGTATTCCATGTTGTAGACAATGAGGTACTAGAACTCACTTAAAAGTGTTCCCATGTTTATAGAAACAGCATACAGATCTGTGTATGAACATGAACAGGTCAATAAATATACAGGTCTTCTCTGCCAGCTGAGAGAGAATAGAAGTAGGTCACTTACTAGGGCAATTACCACAGTTACCACATTTGCCAGAAAAAGGAACTTGTGTTCCTTATTGAAGTTTGGTGGATTTCATGGTGAGGGTTAGAGAATTATAGAATGGGCCTGGGATATGGTGGATTGATGGATGGGGAATG